AAAAAAAAAAAAAAAAAGATATTTGCAGTTAAGTTGCAGATACCCGTTGAAAAAGTAACAAAACAATAACAAAAACAAAAAGAGATAAACCATGTTTCACACAATTATCTTAATTGGTCGGCATCCAAACGAAAATGACCATCTACTAAGCATCAACGATTAAGTAAAATGACCCCAGAATTCTCCCAGCGATATATACCATTAAGATATTTCTAAACTAAGGCCGGGAAGTATGTAGCTCGTTAACAAAATTGAATGACAGCAAATTTAGTCCCATACATCAAAGAACAATAAGAAACACATATCACACCCTAGGATCCTGCTCATGGTCGAGATAGAAGGAGCACTGTTGAAAAGGAAACATAAGAAAAAGAACCAAAAATGGAAAACAAAACAAACTCACATCCCAAAACAAATTACAAGGAGTAATTAAAACACAGTTCTTATAGATACCTCAAATAGCAAATCAATGACACGTTTGATTTGAGCTCCAACAGGGGCTTTCCTTATGCTATTTATATGTTGAAGCCGTTCCGTATCGTTCGAGAATTTAACCGGGGGTGATGGAGACTTTGCATTTGGCACATTCGAGGGCACGGGTCTTGAAGAGCTGGCTTTAGATGATGATGCTTTAGCTGCAATTCCAGTAAGTGTTTTCTGGCATTTCTCTTGCTGTTGCTTGAATTTTTCCAGACTCTCATTAAGCAACCCCATCTGAGATACACAGCCAGCAAAATAAGCAAAAACAACACACAATCATGAATCTCAAATCATCAATACAGCTGACATTGTATCTATAGAATCTCAAATCAGACAGCCACATTTGTACAGTAAAGGAGTCGGATGCACAATAATTATCAAACGGGAGACAAAAAAAAACATACTTTATCAAAAATTCACAAATCTTCTTGAAAAATGGCCAAATAATAACTCCCAAAATTCCAGATAAACCCACATAAAAATTCCTTTGAATTACTGTTACTGTCCAAAAGAAGAGGGTTTAACCGCATCAAAGCTCAGTGCTAAAGCATTCATAGCAAATTATTGATAAAAATCTGAAAATAGTACAGGAAATCAACCCAATTTTTCAAACGAAAAAGATTGCATAAGCTCCTAGCCATTTTTTCTTCACATTTGTAACTCCAATCGAGGGCAATAATTTTATCTAACTTCCACAATTCAAGCTTCTTAGTGATCTCTTACCAATCGAAGAAGCAATATAATCAAGAAAACCAATGAAATTTACCCAAAACGCAGATTACACGACGGGATGAGTTGTAGGTAGAAAAAAGTGATCGGAAGAGTTTCCGCACATATATGGGCGGATACGCGGTGGGGAACTCTAATTTTGGTACTTATATGTATAGCCTAATGACTGAACAAAAACTGCCTGGGATATGTGAGTTTTTTTAAATAATGGATCTCGGAACCTGTAAAGCCCATCAGGAGTCTGAGAGAAAGCCCAAATAGGCCCCAACACAATTAAATGGATGCGGCATAAGTATGTCATAATTTTTACATATTTATACAAAGATATTAATCTGTCAGAAAACTACTTTGATGAGCAATTCGTCCATGAAGTTACCGGTTTGACCTTCGGAGTTCCTGCAAAATACGCCGAAAGTGTTCCTTGCGGTAGACTTCCGGCGATGAAGTCATATCAAGTGATCACTTCTCATAATATGAAATAATAGAACGTGCGTAAGCATATATATTGTAAGTCTTAGAGTGTGTAACTTTACCCCTTCATACATGATACTTATATATAGTGAACTCTTGACTTGTTGCCCAAGTACTGTCTGATCCTATTGCCCGAGTACGCAGGTTGCCCTAAGGATTGCCCGACGGTTATCTTGCTACCTGTAGGGGCTGCTCCAGACCCATCCTTATCTCTAAGATAATCCAGATCCATCCTAGATAGCCTCCATATGTACACTATCAGTAGATCCACCAACTTGTTATTCACAAGTCTATCAACTACATTGTCAGCAAGTCTTTCGCACCCATGACCCAGGTCCACCTTATATTCAACTATTCGTATGTCTTATTATGTTAACTGCTTCATTGTCAGTAGGTCCATCGACCTACTATTCATACATCTCTTACATATACATACTATCAACAGGTCCATCAACCTACTTTTTATAGGTCTACACGCATAAAATTGTCCTCATATCGTCTCGAATATATTGTTAGTAGGTCTTCATGTGTACACTATCCTTAGCTCCGCCATACCACGAGCTATCAAGAGGTCCCCACCTATATCCGAGCAACTAGATGTTATAGCCAAGCTACTTGATCTACATAAACGATAGCTCACCTGAGCTAATCAGGATCAATTCTCCCAAGCTACACGAGGGACGTCTCAACCGAGCTAATTATTGGTCGATTCATCCAAGCTACTCTCTATGTTAATCACACGGAAAAAACTTGTAAGACTTAATCGCCTTATAGCATATAGTTATTTTATAGATAAATTAATTGATAAATAAATTTATTTTTCCAAATAATGTTAAAAAAAGTTAATAGATTATATATTTAAAGATTATGAATTAAACTTAATTTTAACACGAACGCAAAATACTTTTTCGTGTCTTAACATAATTATTTTTCTAACTTATCATATAATTACTTTATAGTAAATTTATTTAATAGATAAATAATATTATTTACGAATAGATAATTCATTTTTTCATAAAAATAAATATAATTATTTATTTACGAAATGGTGATCAAATTAAGTCCTCAATATGAATCATCATATTGTTAAAATAAGAATCAAAACTTACTTATGTGGTTTGTCTTCATGTTTCTCTTCATGCTAAGTCATATGTAAATATATAAATTAAATATGGTTAGTCTTTAGTTTTGAAAAGCATGGATATAGTTTTTATATTCGAAAATATTTGATATTCTTTTATATATATATATATATATATATATATATATATATATCAGATTACACTATTAATATTAACTTGGAAAAATCCTATTGCATTGGGTTCTTTATGTATGATTATAATTTTGCAATTAAAAATATCAAATATAAGGACTTCTCAGTCCGCTCATTTTTTACAAAATTACTTATCCGTTAATAATAACACATATATAGATAGATAGATAGATAAATAGATAGATGCATATGGATAGTGCCTATGGTGTTTTTGGTTATAAATTTCACGCGCACTGTGTTATTTGTGACAAAATACGGTAAAGGGCACTTCCCCAACGTAAGGTCAAATATAAGAATTTTGGGTAATGTGGCTATAGTACTAATTTTATATTGTTGGCCAGCAATAGCATAATTTTGCCCGGTCAAATATAAGAATTTTGGAATCATAGAGAGACTAGTTTTATATTGATTGTTGGCTACCGTAATTTTTGGGATCATGTAGGACTAACATTAATTTTGAATCCAAAATCAATGAACCCGGCCAAAAATTGTGCCTACGGGCCGTCCATGGTTTTTAAACTCGGCTCGGGAATCGACTTAAACAGTTCTCTAAGCTACTAGTTCAACCATCAGGTTAGCAAGTCAATGAAATCAAGGAATCAAGCAACGGGTCACTAGGCCAGAAGTTCACCAAGGAAGGCTAATGAAATCAAGTACCATAGTTTATTATACATTGTTTGACTATTCTTTTAGTCCGTGGACACAGATTCATAATATTCTAGTAACTCATCATGCCATAGTCATCGGATTCGGGGCATTCGGGGCGTAATCAAAATATTGTCACTATTGGTTGCTAGGTATTGAAAAATCCCTCCCTATATATTAATTCAAAACGTTTTGAGTCTAGGTGGCAGATTCTCACGCTTCGGATGCTGACATGACGGAAATCTATGCTTTGTGATTTTGTTTTTATATTATTTTTGCTATGGAGTTAGGTTTGGTATTAGACATAAATAACTTTACACATATATTTATTAACTCAACACCCATGTTGTACATGGGTATTAATACTAGTTATTATTAAAACTTAACTGTACTCGGTGCCAAAAATTATACGAAGCTAACAGATGGTATTTTTATGAAGTTATTCATCACATAATGTATTGACATATGTTCAACGTGTATTTAATTTAGGATACGTGTTAATATACTTTTATGAATAAATTTGGATGATTCTATAAATCATGTCATCCGATAACTCCATAACATAACTGATACACAAACATATATAACTCGATTAGACTTTGAAAACTTCAACTCAACTCATTTTATAATTAAACTAATTTAATCAACTAGAGCATGTTCATGAACTACTCGGATAAAGTTTTGAGTTTTGGGTTTCAATTTTGAATTTTAAGTTTATTTAATGAATCGAATCGAGTTACATGAGGTGAGCTTGAACCCAAAATTTCCTTTTTTTTTTCCATTTGTTTAATCGGTCAAAAACAAATGAAAAACAAAAAGGTCTATGTATAATAATATCTTTAAATATTTAATGAAAATTACATGAATTACATTGTGGAAATAAATGAAAGTATATCACTAGAAATGTGAAAGTTATTTTTATAGGAGAAAAGTATAATTATTATACTTTCTATTCATATTTTATTCTCCAACATAAATTCATTAATTACTGTCTACTTTCTCAATTGGCAAATGTTCTTCTCTAATAATTGATTTGTTATTTTTTTGTTTTTTTTTAAAAAAAAAAAAAGTAAAAACAGTGGCCACACATGGAAGTTAACTAATTATTCACTCATGAATTAAACGCTTAATTCATTAATTTCCCAAGACATACAACATATGTGGATGTCGTTTATTACATGCATAAATTTCAAGCCTTATTCAAAGCATCTCCATATAGACTAGCTAGCTGGTAGCTAGTGAAGTTAAGGGCATGACTAAATGTCATTACAATTTTAGACCAAGTCTAGTTAGCTCGTTCTAAGGGCAGAAAACCACCCTGTAATTGGTGCCCCCTGGGCAAGTGAAGGTGCTCGTCTGGTCGTCCTTCGGGTAGCTGTATGCATCCGGGCACCTCTGCTTGAAAAACCTCGACAAGTCTGTGGGCCCACAGTTCCCGGAGTTGCAGCAGTACTGGTCGGTCTTGTACACCGTGCACGGGTTATTGCACCCTCCCGGGGCCCGTAGATCGTTTGGGCATTGCCCGTTGATATCTGACGTGCACTCGATGCCGCGACTGCATCCCTCTGAATTATCAGGACCGAACTCCATCGGGACATTGAACCCGTCCACTAGAGATATGTCAAAAAAGTCGAGATTGTTGAATTGGTTAAGCGCATATTCTGCTAGGGTGTTGGGGGGCACACCGTAGCCCTGGCACTGTAGTTGCCCATTACAGTCGCCCGTCTGGCATTGGCCGCGGCCTGACTCATCGAACGAGCATCCAGTTCGGGCCCAAATGCGGGCTCCAGTAGTGCTAGCGGGGACGTTAATGGTCCACGTCTGCCCGCGGTCGAGGCGGAGGCCACCGCCGACTGGGACCGAGGCCGCCCAAACCGTGAACGGACAATTGTTGCGGATGGTGAAGGAAGCTGCGTGCGCGCGTGCCGAGAGGAGAGAGATTAGGAGGAAGATGGGAAGTGAGGAGATTGGTTTGGGGAAGGGGACCATTTTTAGGGTTTTGTGGGTAGATGAAATGTGTGTTAATTTGTTGTGAGAAGATGGATTGGTTGGGTATTTATAGTAATGTTTGGTGTCAAGATTTTAGGGGTTATTGCATGATGGCATGGTTAGATAGGTATATGGACTTTGTGGCATGGGCAATGGGAAAAATTAAGGGGTATTTGCAGAGTGCAGAGTAGAGAATGATTATTTTTTTCAACGATTTATTGTCGTTATAATATACGATTTTTGTTAGAATTTTTTATTTTAGGCCATAGTTTTTACCATAAAAATTTGGTCGTTGGAATAATCAAAATTCAATGAAAAATCTAATAGAAAACTCTTTCCAATCAAATATTTGTTGAAATTTATGTTAGAATCCAGTAAAAAATTCCAGCGAAACAAATAGTATTGGGATATCCATTAAAACTTTCATTGGAATGTACCAACATGGGTTGGCTCAAGTGGTAAGCAGTTTGATGTCACTTAAGCAAGGTCTTGGATTCGAGTCCTTGTGGATGCAGAAAACCCTTGTTAGGAGACTCACCCACCACTGTCAGGTGTGCGATCCGGGTCGACCATCGGATTAGTCGGAACATAATTCCGAATACCATGACTGACTAAAAAAAAAAAACTTTCAAAAAAACTTTCATTGGAATGTTGCTTGCAAATTTTTAATAAAAGCTATACAATTAAAATGGAGTAAATAGTCATGCACAAAGTCAAGCCACGAAAAGTCAAAGAAAGATGTGTTTTTTCTCTCTCCCTTTGTTTATAAATGGATATTATTATTATTATTATTATTATTATTATTATATCACAGTGGATTTTCTTTTATCAATCAGAAAGATATCTTAGATTATAACAAGGGTCGTTTACTTTGCAGGTTATGATAAGACAAATTAATCAAGATAATTTTTCATGTCAGCATTTAGTCCATTGTTTACTTTTCGGGATGGAATTTGCATAAATGATTCCCTCATTTACTTTCATGGATTAACTAAGATGATATACAAGCCAAAGACAACATTGCCCTTCTTGAAGTTATCGATTTCTGGTACATCCCATTAGCTTAACACAACGTTTCTTGCTAACTCCATGGCTCTTGAAGCCTTCGGGCTTTACCTGGAAGAAAAAAAAAAAAAA